ATATGATTTCAAGTAAAAGAAAGGATTGAATGTAAACACAACTTTTCTGTGTTTTTCAAATGTTTTTGGACAACAAGTAGTCATCACAGATATTTTTATGTTACCAGGCAACAGTATATTGGCAGAATTTACTAAAATGCATATCACCTGACACAAAGAAGTTATTTGAAAACTGTTCGGCTCTATATTTTGGACTAAGAGATAAGTTTCATCAGGTTTTTTTTGCAGACTTAGTCAGTGTTTTAGGTGGCCACTTCGACATGTTGTTTAGTTTGGGAGCGGGCGGGTGAGTGTTTGTGAAAAGATGCCATGAAAAATGCACAGGTGGTGCCAAGAATGGCAGGTCCCCAGAAACATTTTTTTCTCAGACAAACTTTCCCTCTCCTCATAATGACAGTGTTTCAATCACATCATGCCAATTTCCACGATATTCTGTGTTTCACAGTAGATTCTGTCTTTACTGGCCAATTCTGTGATTCTTTTAGCAAGGAAATCGAAGGGCCCAAATTATGGCATGTTCAGGACATGAAAAGGTGCTGCATACCAAATGCTGCATTGTCTCAGGTCTTAGTGTTTTAAGCCAAATGGACCTACAATCGCTGAGCAAATAGCCCCACCTCCTTCTCACGTCACAGCTGAGAATTATGTTGGAAGCGGGATCAAGGTGTGAATTATAGTCAAACTGTTGGTACATAAACTCTTTGCAGCGTTTAAACTCTAAACTCTTCATTTAATCCGATAAAGCCTTCACAATAAAAGTCAGGGGATGTAAAAGTGTTGAGGTGGTTTTATGATGAAACAGTCATAACAGGGAATTGGATGTTTTCCACAGCGGAGACCAACACAACTCCTTAAAAGGAGAAATTTGGTATTTTTTAACCTGGGCCCTATTTTATGATGTGTTTCCAGTACTGGTAGATTTTGGAATCCACCAGACACTTTGGCACTTGTCCAACACTGGGACTCAACCCCCATTTAGAGAAAGCAATCCACCATTTTCTGGCACAGAACCGTAAGGGTGCTGACCCTCATGTCAGCTGCTCGAGGTCTCAGCTGGAAGAACCTTACAGGGGCCACCACCCTTAGGGAAATGAAGAAGAAATTGGAGAGCAGAAAAGTGCAGGGAAATGGAAAAAGGTAGAGCGACATTCACCACTTAGTGTAATAAGGGAGAGGAGTGTGCAGGTGAGTAGAAAAATCGGTCATTTGTGAACCCACGTGAAAATAAGGTTTTTTTGTGCAAAAATGGACCGAATCAAAGAACTTTTCTTTAATCCTTTCTGCATGATACTTCTGCATAATTTTGTAGAGTTGCGTACTCTAAGCCCACCGTTGTCCCTTTCGCGTTCCTGTTTCATTTGTGTTGCTGTTGCATTGTGTTCTCATTGTGTTGCATCAGATGAAAGTGCCAAACTTCAAAGATAATCTTTGAGCGTCTACTTTGTCGAACACCACATTGAAATAATGAGACAGAAAAGTTCATACAGGCTCATGTTAAAGTCAGAAAAAGATAAGGGGTCCAACATGTGCTGTGAAGTCTCAAATACAAAATTCTGAACATACGCCATCCTTGAATGAGAAAAATATGATTCAAGACAGCAGCTCCCAGTGAATGTGCATCTGACTGCTACACGTGGGCGTACTGTGGGTTGTCTCGGGTCAGCTTTTGTTTACAGTTAACATATCAGAGCTGAATGCATACTGATGAACAATGAACAGATGTTGTTCTCGTATGCTCCACCTTCAAAATAGGAGCGCTCTGTGGGGCGACAAACAAAACAACCCGAGAAACAAAGTAGTCCAAGTCACGTAAAAAATGAGTGTCAAAATAGCAAATGGAACAATGAATCAAAGAGAAGGTGATGTAGGGGGTGAAGGTAGAGATGTGTAGATATCTTTATCAGTAGATATCCTCTGACAAGCTCTAACATGTCCAAGCCAATTAGTCCATAAATCTTTCGAGAGACATACACAAACAAACACAGGTCCAATAAATCCAGCTGATTAAGGTCAGGGACAACTAGTCAATTACATGGGTATCTATCTCTGTATGTGTGTGAGTAAATCTACAGCTAAGGACGAGAAATGTCATTCCTCTCTTCCTTTCATCACTTTTAAAAAAACAAGTCTTGTGCTTTACACACAGAAAAAAATATGAGTGGGATCTGGATTCAGACAGGTCAAACCCCATTAAAAAAGCCTCAGCCATGAAATCTTTCATGTCGTCTGCTTTGTTGAAGTTAATGGCTCGATATTGTGGACACTGGGCTGTACATCAGCTCTGAATCAATCTATCATGATCTTGGATTGGAGGAGAAGGCATTAACAGTTCAGCAGTGACTGGCTTCTGTATAGAGGGCCGCTTGCTTTAAAGCCCTATTGTTTTCAAACTGTATGAGTTTATCTCATTCACTTAAAAAAAACAGTCTTGCACTGAGGAGGAGAAAGGCAAAAGGAGGAGCTACCATAAGCAGGCACTGGACAGATGAAAACCTGATGTGGCAGCTGGAAATACCCTGCTTCTCTGTCAATTTTGATCCATTTATGGTGTAAGCATCCATTTAAACCCAAGCAGTATTTTAATTACTTAACTAATCAATCAATCAATCAATTTTTATCTATATAGCGCCAAATCACAACAGTTGTTATCCCAAGACACTTTTCAAAAGAGCAGGTCTAGACCTCACTCATTGTTTGATGTATTACAAAGACCCAAGGTTAAGATGGGAAAGATTTCACCCATCTCATCCAACATAAGTGACAGTGGCAAGGAAAAACATCCCTTTAACGGGTAGAAACCTTGGACAGGACCAGACTCAGATCAGACATCCACCTGCCGTTGCTGAGTTGGGGGCAAACAGAGAGAGAGAGAGAGGGAGTGTGAGAGAAAGAGAGAGAGAGGGGACAGGAACAACAACAATGACAACAACAGCTCATACAGAGCCCTGGTTATACAGCCAATAATAACGAAAGAGTATAAGGTCTGTTTACAGCATCAGGAAATCAGTAAATGGTTGTTGATACAGACAACAACAGGTTCACTTCTGGTAAGTTAATAAAAAGGTAATAAAATTTTATTTATGTGGCACCTTTCAGATAGGGGTGGCACACTGACATCCTTGTACACAAAGAGGAGGATCTTGAACTGAATCCTGGATTTAACTGGCAGCCAATGAAGTGGTATTCAAACCAGAGGAGTGCTCTCACCGGCATAGAAAGCATTACAGTAGTCTAATCGAGAGGATACAAAGGCATGTGCAACCATTTCCAACTGCTAGATAAGGATAACGAAAGAGCATCATTTGGCAATGTGAAGATTTCATAACTGTCTTGTCATGTTTGTCAAATTTCATCCTGAGGTCAGAGTTAATTTTGTGGCTGATGAACCAAGTTGTTGGAGGATGTTAGTGGCTATTTGTTCCTGGGCAAAAGCGAACAATTCTGTCTTACTGCAATATAGCTAGAGGACATTGTGGGGCATCTAGTTACCAATGTTGGCCAGACACTTGTGAAGAGTAGATAGATTTGAGAGATCACTTTGTGTAATCGACACGTACAGGTGTGTATTATAACAATGGTAAGGCATAATTAAACTGACGAATCGGGTGGCTAAAGAAAGCGAAATAAAATTGGTCCAAGTATTGATCCCTGAGGCACCCCACAAGATAGGAAACTCTCTCATCAATGGAAACAAAGCACTGAAGGTCTGAGAGATAGGATCCAATCTAACATTCATTTTAATTTGATCATGTCTGTTTTCATCGCAAACCCAGAAAAAAAAAAAACAGATTTCACATGGAGTAAACAGATATCATTAGAGATAATGTCTCTTTTCAGTTTCTCCAATAAAAGTGCTGAAATCTCAAACAATCCAAAAATGTGCACCCACTTTGGCTGACTCTACTAGAAAACGTTACCCACAAAAAAGACAAAACCTTGTCTTTTGACTCTGCATTTGGGCTTCAAATGACCGGCAAACCCTGAGGAGTTGGTTAGCTGAAGAGTCATTTTGCTGGTGTCAATTCGTCACAATGATTTGTGTGTGTGAGGAGCACAGCCTCCATAAATAAGAAAGACAGAGGCTTAAATATAGCAGCGATGGAGGGAGATGCACAAACACTCCTCGACAAATACCATTAAGACTGGGTCACAGACAAGACAGGAATAGCACTTAACACACACACAGACACACACACACCTGCCACAGTGCAGTAGAGTCAACCAACAAGGGAAATTGACAGGTATTTCAGAAAACTGGAATGACAGTGGGAAGTTTCAATGATAATGTCTCATATGAACGTCCATGTTTAAATAAGTAAAGCCAATAATCAAAAATAACAGAAACAGCAACACCAGCACACAGCCAAATAACACAGGCTCAGTTGATTTACACTACATATTGCACTCTTTTACCCGTGAAAGCAGCTTTATGTTGCCTGAGCTAACTGTGGCTAATAACCAAAGCTACCCAGCTAACATCAATCCATTATCACCTCACTGTTTTTCTGCTCCTTGCACATTAACATACCTAAGACAAATGACCAACAGGGTAACATTAAAACTAAATTTACATACTGAAAGTTTGATGACTTTAGTGGAAACATAAGAAATTTAAGGCCAAGTGGTCAGACTTAGTGAATTTACAGCATACTCCTACATTTTTATGTGTCCCTCCTACATCACTGAATAATGATAAATATGTCCAATGGGGGTGCACTTTTCAGACCTGTACTGTTGATGAATAAAGGGGGTCTGGACTCAGCATGTTTCCACAATATTATTCTCATTAAATGTCTTGTATTGCTGGTAATGGAAAGATAAATTACACAGGGGAATATTATTCACACTGAAAGGGTCCCTTGCCTCCTTGTCATTTGCTTAGTTCCTCAGCTGTATTCCCTGACTGCACCTCCTCCACCTGTCAGCCCCCAGGCACTCCATTCTTCCTGCACCACTGGGCTGCACTGCATGTGCGTGTGGCCTCTGTTTTCCTTGTAAGGCTATTCACAAGCCTTTTGGGATGTTAGCAAAATAGTAGAGGCAACATCTGTGCATGTGTGCGAGGGAGTGTGTGTGTAGGTATGTGGGTGTGAGTCTCGTCTCCAGAGGGCAATAATGACTTGCAGACAGGGACAGGGACCCTGACTTATGAGAACGTATCGATCCCAGCAGGTCCTGCAGAGATTGAGGGTTGTTTATGTGGACGGTAGCACGCCTCACTGAATGTTGCAGCACAGACAAAAGAAAGAGGAAAAAAAATCGGAATCAGTCTTCAGTAACTCATGTGGAACACTGTGTCTTTCCTGAGTGCATCCACGGCAAGACACGTGGTCTTTGTGCACAACCTGGAGTTGCTAAGGTTCCCCCAGAGGCCCCCCCTCTGCTTCGAAAGGAGTAATTCTTTTTACCATTACTGCTTTGCTCAGACCCTAATGTGTCTCACCTTGTAGTCAAAGTACTTCCATGATAAGGATATAATCCTGTGAAAACAGACTTACTGTAACAGTCACAAACTAGCTGAGGGAGAGAATTTGCATAATCCCATCTGAACTGACCTAAATAAAAACATACAATAGCTAGAGCACAGGAACCCTCATTACGACTTCTTAAAAAATGGCATTGTAAAGTGAAACTACCATCTCAACAGTCAGTAATACTGTCCAAAGAGTTGCTTGTAAACTGGGACAAAGACCAGTAGTCCATTTAGGACTGGATAATCAAGCTGTAACCATATGAACATACTGAGTGAGTGTGTTAAAAATGACTTTAGTATCCCGGTTTTCATGTTCCAGTTTTAAAAACTGAATTAAGCCCTTGTCCACGATTTGAGAAACCTAATTTTACTACCTGGAGAACACTTAAAGAAAAGAGGATACTGTGGCATGTACATGCATTACCCAGGTTTCTAGACCACCTGATATTCGCACGACTAAAGATGAATGTTCACTAACTACTTTGGGGATTAAATACAAGTGTGGTAACATTTTAGCAACAGTGAAATTTAAGTTAGGGCACATTGACACAAAACCTGCCATTGGTGGACACAGGGCCTAAATGCATTACTAGTTAAGTTTGCTGGAAGCAAATACAAATAAGGGGAATTTCTCAGCAGTCATTTTGTTTTTGATTGTACATCTTTAAATTGTTGTATTGTAATGTAGTCACTGGGCCATTTCTCAGATTTATGTGCAATAATCTCAATGTATTTTGATCCTGCAGCAAACATGTCCTTGGTGTATGTTTTTATGGAGTTTTCTGGAGAAATAAGTCAACCTTTATAGTAACTAAATTGTGCAATTGCTAGTGCACAGGTGAGCCATTTAGTGACATACAACAAGAAGTATGCGTCAGCCTTGCCTGACAACCTTTCCCCAAGAGCTTTCAAAACATCTTGAGGCAATAGAGGTCAATGAAAGCCAAACGGTCGGTACTCAAATTGAAGGTGAATCTGTCATGAAAACTGTTCAAATATTTATCAGAAGTAAAAAGTCTGTGTCAAGGAGATAATGGGATTTGTAGGTTAAAGCTTGCTGACGGGACAAACTTAACAAGAAAGTTGCTGAAAGTATAAATTTACAGGCTCCAGTTTCGGATTTGAAGAGCTAAATCAACACCTCAGTGACATTGTCTCAACCCCAAACTCCACCGCAAGAAATTTCCAGACCTGCTGTTTGTAGTCGAGCTGTCATTAGAAAATCCAAGGCTAAGTCAAAATGACACATAACCTGCTATCAGGAGTACAAAAGCCAGAGCCGTCAGCAACAGACAGATAATATAAAATGCTCTTTGATCCTTTCCCCCTCTCCAACAGGTTTACATTTGGAAAATGCTCTGGTGCTTTCAGGCCACAGTGAACTGTTGCTCCATGTTTCTCAATGTGGTGTATCTTTAGTGGTACAGGCGACTCTCTTGGGAGTCAATGGGTCAAACACTTCTGCAGGATCATATATTATACAGCAAGGGTCAGAGATGTTTCCTGATGCGGTTTCCTGATATTATGCCTCCTGCATTTAATGCAAAACAAACTCAGCCTGGCTTTCGTGACCACCCCAGTAAGGTTAAACATCTCACATGGCTTCCAGAATCAAGAAATATTACGATTAGTACATCGTGAAGGGCGTTCTCTGGCTTTAAAAGCTAAGTCAATTTCCATCTCCATCAATCCTCTAGGGAACTGGAAGTATTCCTTTATAGGAGATGATCTGATGGGCTCTGACAGAGTGCAGGACAGGTATGACAGCCTTCCAAGGAGACAATGTTTTGAAGAGTGTCCCCCATCCCCTGAGATTTCTATTCAGCACGAGTCTCTGGCAGGTTGAGCCGATGAAACTCTGCGTCACTGTTCCTGAACACTGAACATAGAGTGGTTCCCACTTTCATGTTGTTCTGTATTCCTGTCACCAGTATGTTCCAATACTAATGAACTACAAGTAGCCTAAAGCTGAACTCTAATAAAGACAGTCAGCATCATGAAGTCCAGTCAGTTTATGTATGCTTTTTTATTAACATATCAGCACATAAATGGACTATAATGCTCTTAGCCCCAACAGAATGAAAGCCCTCCATATAAAAACCAAATTCAGAATTAACAGGTCCAAACTCAATCAAATTTTCGTTAATTGATCAACATAACAATTGTCACATATTAAGTATTTTTGGCTGGTCCATCTGCAGTGCAAGTGTGGCCTTGTTGAAAAAGGACTATTAGGCACAGGATTTCACACTATCAGGCTGTTCCCCAGAATAAAACAGCTAGACAAACCCAGAAAGTGTGAGATGCAGCCCGGCTGTCAATCATGATACCACATCCATTCTTTTCAAAGTTGATAAACTGGTTCAAACTTGACTGTCAGAAAAAAAAGTATACTTGGACATTTATCAGCCTGGCAATGGCTATCTGTAATGAGATCAAAAGAAATCACAGTTGAGAAAAATTGATCTGGTAAATACATTTTATAGTCTGCAAAGGCTCCAATATTGGATTTACTGCAGACATCAGCAGTGAGAGTCCTAAAAATCATATCCTCAAGCTAAACAGATACTTACAGCATCTATTTTATGTAGTCTATAGTCACTACTGAGGAATTGATCAGAAGCAGGATGACTTTGCCATATCGGAGTTGAACATTGCAGACAAGGTGATAGAGAGCACACATATTGGCTCAAATTGGAATAACAAGCAATTGTAATAGTTACAAGTGACCAAGAAACACACATGCATAAACCTCAGGCAACCTTGTTTACCCTTCCTACAGGATAGTACACTGTTCTGCACTGCAGGTCATGCACAACTCCACTGTTCATGAAAGCATGAAACTCCATCCCTCTGCCAACAACCACTACTAACCCCACCTCTACCTCAGGAGCCAGGGAGATGGTTTCTGTCCTGGTTGATACTCTGATTAAGAGATGAAATGTGGAAGCGAGAGGACAGCTGACCTTGGTGTAATTCCTGTGTGAGTGAGCAGCAAGAGGAAAGCCCAAGAACAAACGTTCTTACCATATTTGTACAGCGATATCACATCCAGCCTCCCTCCTCATATTGTACTCATACTCCAGCAGCATATGGGAGGTCCTATTGTTCCTGCTGTAGCACAGTCACACTGTCTGATTACAATGTGCTTTCTGGTCTCCACAACAAAACCGCCAACTGTTTCCATCACATTTTGTTTAGCTTCTCCAAAAAAATGATTAATATTTCTCTCACATGTTGAAGCACACCAGCACAATGTCAGTTTGTTTAAGAAACCACAGCCAGCCGTAAAACTCATGATAAACAGCAGCTTTCTCTCTGCTTTTCAAACGTTACTAAGCAACGTTTCCAGCAATAACAGAGAAGAGGAGAAAACTCAGTCACGTGTGAACAGCTGTTTCCTGGCATATCACTTTTAGCTTTAAATTGAAACAACACTCAAGGAATTTTAGACAGCTACATAAAAGTTGTCATCCTGTTTATAGACGTTAAAAAGAAGTGGGTATACATGGTGACAAATGAAGGGCATGCAATAAACCTTTTGTTTTAAGTGTTAATTGTTCCAAATACAAAGCTTCACCTACTCTCTCTCCCTCAGCGGCAGCACCGCCATTGAAAGTAGATCCACTTAAAGAGCCTGCAGTCAGTGCTAAGCCACAGTAAAACCACACAAGCCTCATGAGCCTGTCAATGCAGCTGTATTTGTGGTGGATTTATGTCACCACACATCAGTGGGCTTACATTTTTTCTTTCTCAAAGCCAGAAGTTGTTGATTTTCACAGCATATGTTCAGAATCCTCCCTGAATCTTCACACCATCTCTTGTGCTTGTACCATGAGCACAGAAACAAGTATACAACCCTTGACTACGGATACTTTTGATTACAGACAAAGCTTCATCTCCTTTTCTAAAAAAGGTCCCGTCAACACCAACAACAAGTGTGTCTGAATGTTTCTTTGTCCAAACGACAATGCAGAAATATTCACATATACGTGCAATAATGTGCAATCAGTCTGTCACATAAAACACTGAAGAGGAACACTGTCCATGTATATTAAGCATCAATATACTACATTTTTTTACATTACAATTATTTACGATAAAATTACAGTAATTTACTGTTTTTTCTTCGTACTGTAAATTCATTGAAAATAACATAACATAACACCTCTGCACATGAGTACAATAAAGGACAGCAAGATTCCCTTGTAAACAAACCTTATTGATCCCGCGGGAAATTTCAGGACAGAGCCACTGGATAGGCAGCCGCTTGCAGTAGACCTTGGAATTTTGAAAACCATGAATTTCAGTGACCTCCAACTCAGTTTAGATGTGAAACAAGAGACCAAAGCAGAGAGAAAAGGTCAAAGGTTCGAGATGGATTCACCAGCTGCACCACTTTGGTTGCAAGACAAACAAAAACATTAATAATTTATCCTAGTAACAGAAGAAAAAAAAAAGGGTTAGGGTTGCTTTTTGTATTCCTAACAACTATGTGCCAGCTCCAGCTCCAAATTAGTTTGTTTGTCAGACTGAAATCAACATAGCTGCACTTGGAAAATGAAAGAACAACAGGTGGATAAGAGGAAAGCACCAAGAGGAAATGATTCAAACTAGGACAATTTTCTCTTTAATTTCAGTGTCTCCTCAATAGCCACAAACCTTGCTTCCCAGAATAACTCCATAGAGCAATTGCTGTGTTCGCTTTGTTTTCTGCCTTTGAAACCATCCGCAATGGACTGCGCCCCTGCCTCCACCCCTGAGGCGATGTACAAGCACTCAATCAGCACAGCCTCTCATTATGAAAGTATCCCTGCCCACTCAGGTAACTGCATAGATAAGGTCACAAACTGAGAGGCTGCATATCCTCCTCAGGGGCTGAATTTGTGATGATTTTTAAAACTGAATTGGAAAATCACGCCCCAAAGACAACAAGGACATGACTTAAAAAGTCAAAAAGTGACGTTGTAATAAACCTTCAAAGCTAGCAGTGTCATGTCCGGCCATGTCTGTTCAGTATTTCATTTTTCCAAAGTCATAGTCATGTTTTGATCCTTGTCTGTTTTTTGACTTTGTCTTTATTGACATGTTTTGGATACTTGTGCCTTTTTGTGAACTGAACTCTGCCCGCCGATAAATCTCGCCTTTGGATTTTGGGACCTACTCTGTGTTGTGCATTTGAATCCTCCCCAATCTGTTGCCTCATTCCTGACAGGCAGAACCCTACAGATGTAATGTAAATAATTTGGTGGGTACTGGCAGGGAGCTATTATTTCTGTTAACAAAACAGGAGCACTGCACATTACTAAACCTTGAGTGCATGCAGTATGCCAAGATGAAATGGAGTAAAAACCACTCTACAGTGTTCACACAAATGAAAATAGTCTTTCAAGTCTTTAAACTGTCCTTTTACTGTAAAAGAAATGAAACAACTTGATCCATTTTTGCAGGTAACTGCATTTTTTGCAAAGTAGCAGAAGCTGCTTGCAGTAAAAGCAAAACACAAATATAAAGGACACAAGAATTGAAATGGCTCTGAAATCTTGTATCTTAACACCTACAAATATAGCCAATAAAGCGCTGAAGCTGACAGAAAACTAAGGTTTAAATATGAAATTTGGCCCACTCTCGCAGACAGCTTCACAGTTCTTTCAGATGAAAAACAACATTGGCCTTGGCTGAAATGAGGAATTCTTTTTCATCCCCCAGCACCATCATCCCACATCATCTTCTTCATCACAGCTCGTAAATTCCACCCTCACATGCAGAGCTGGAGTTACAGTTGCAGTGAGTGTGTTGGCAGTAGCATCTCAAGCTGTATTTCAACATCCTGAGGGAATAAACACCAAATCTAATTTTGAATGCGGTGCATCGTAGCTTCTGTTGCATCAATATCTTGAAGGAATATTTCCTACAGAAACATTTAGGCTCTAATTTTGTCTCATTGTTCTGCCAAAGCACCAAACCTCCCCATCCTTTCAACAAAAGGAAATTCACACACCTACTCCAGCTTTTTGTGCTCCTGAATAGGTAAATAATAGAAATAAAATGGTGTAGAGGCAATTTTGTAGAACCACTGGCTGGATCTTGTTGGTTTTATGTTTTACAATTCTTTTTATGTCAGAACAGCCAAATAAATCTCCTAAATTTGGTTGCTTACTCTTCAGATTTGCTTTATGTGAGCAGTTTGTTGGCAGCAGCTTTTGTTCCATTTTGTTCCCTCGCAGAGACCAGGTCGCCACAAATCAAAACATTGAGGTACTGAGTGATCACCTTTTTCCAATATTTTCCATCTGCAAGGACGCTTGCCTAATCATACCAATGCCTCCTACCACTGTAGCCACTGCAAGGATGAAACTAGAATGCAAGTCTTGGTCTGAGTAACAGTGCGCAGACAAATCAAAGACAGAAAGACCCAGAGGTCACATTTCCAGAAGCGTGGAATATTAACCAAGTACGGCCCTTTAGACTTTAAGAAACAGTCAACTGGAGGTTAAAGCTGCATTTAGCTGCTATGCTGCAAACTAGGTATGCACGATATTATCAGCATAGTGTCAGTATTGGTAAACACAAAATCATCCCCCTAAAATAATTTGCAGAAAAACAAAACATTAAATGAGTGCATGCAATGACCGCTTTATAGACGATGATGAAATTCGTGTAAATCAACATTCAACACCTGTAGAAGACTTTTTTGAGTTTACTGAGTGGGGCAAATGTTAGCAGAGCAAGCATTAGCATCTATACACCAGTAACATTTACGCAACGCTCCAGTGAAGAAGCTTCATGCTAGTTTCACCAGACACTGCCCAGAAAACTCTTACTGCCAAACTTCACCACACTATGAGATGCTGTTTGTCATCCATGCCTGTTAACATGTTTAGATCCAGGTAGTGGGGGATTAACGCATTATTGCAAGAGTATTAACCAGAGCTAGAGCCCTGGTTCATTGGCTGACCGCCATATCAGGCAACCAACTGTCACCAAGGTGACAGAATTTAGCAGTTAAATCACAGCTAAAATGCACTGTAGCTTCTCTGACAGTTTGTTATAACCCAACATATCGCTTCATGCAGTTCAACTTGACATCAGTTGCAAGCAACACAGTCAGGAAGCAAGAACTGAACACGCAATGCAATGCACTACTCGGTTGTGGCCATATTGTGGATGAAATAAATCCTTTGAGGTGTGAGGAACCATAAATTTTTGAAGTAGTTGCTATCACCAGGGATTTAAGATGATGGAGAGTCAACTGGGGACTCCAGGCCACACTGGCTGGGATGAAGACAAATGGGTTGCACCTGTTCAATGAGTGGCAGTCCTCTGTGGTTTGTGTTCGATACCCAGGCTTGTGTTCAGAGGGTTTTCAAGACTGGAAGTATCCTTGTCTAATTTTAGTGCTAGAAAGACAGATAGTGTCTTTATAGAGAATTTCTTATATTTTTCCCGACGTCAGTGGTTCCTCCACTAATACTCTGCGGTTACTGCTGAGCAGCTTCACTGAGGCTTTGGGGAATTTAGTGCCTAGCTTGAGGCCACCACAACAATGGTGAGATGAAAGCATTAGTCTTCCTGCCACCAATCACAAATCTCTCTGGGGGTTTGCACTGGCAGCCTTATGGTCACAAGCTAAGTCCTGTAACCTGTAAGCTTGCAAAGCCATCAACAAGAGCATGAAGAGAGAGTGCAAATCCTCCACGATTTGATTATTAAAAATATCAGTAAATGAAACAAAATAAGTGGCATTGGGGGTGGGGGGGATGTTACAGAGATGTCATGTCACTGTCACAAATGTTGTCCTTGTTTGATAAGCCAAGCATGCACAGGGGAACAAGTAATGAGTCAATTACACCACTCCTACTGATCATTCTTAATGAAGGGATGAAATGCTGTCCTCTGGGATTTTAATTGCCTCCTTCATCCCGGATCTTTACTCTTTAATCGTTTTTTTCCCAGAGGCAATAAAATGCAAAGTGGTGAGTTTAACAGGAAGCACACACTCTATCTATCTATCTATCTATAAAAAAAGATATGCAAGCAACACATTTTAAAACTGTGGGAACAAGGACAATAAGCACCAAGACGTTGTGTAATGCTTAAAAGACATCTGACTCCTGACCAAAGAGATTAATTGTTGACAGGTTTGTCACATGACCGGGTATAAAAGGACATTTCAGAGCCAACTTATTTACATGTAAATATGACAAGAGGTTCGTCAATCGTCAGTCTGCATTGTATTACTTCTTCTAATATTAAATTTTATTTTTTTGCTGCTGTAACATGTGAATTTCCCAGTTTGGGATCAATAAAGTATATCTATCTATCTATCCATCTATCTAATCTGTGAGAAACCTCATGAGTAAATCATTCAGTAATTTCTAAATCACATTCTCTTGGTGTCGAGTTTTAAAGAATTCAGGGACCTACAATATAATACAATACAATATACACAATTAGAAGACTCAATAGAGGCCATCATTTTCCGGCACTCAGCTGGCCCTGCATAGAAAAACAGATATGACTCTGTAGTGGAGATCACTGCATGTGCTCAAAATTAAGAAAAAAAAAACTTGAAAATGAGCTAAGTTTGTCATGCATTCACAAATGCAAGTTTAAACTGTGCCATGCAAAGAAGAAACGATATATGATTCAGAAAAAGCTGGTGACACCTTCGGGCATGTTTAAAATAGACTGAGGCAAAGTGGGGAAACTGTTGTGTGGTCCCATGAGTCAAAACTTGAAATTCTTTTTTGAAATCATGGACACCACCTCCTCTGCTAGAAAAAAAAAGAAAAAGAGAGAGAGGGGACCACCATGATGGTATTGGTAAGTCCATAATCCAAGAAGATTCCATCAATGCTGAGATTTTACAGCAGCAAATGCCCTGAAAAGGCATTTGTTTAGAGTAACAAATGCCATTTCAGGGGTGTTGCGATTTCAGGAAGACAACACCGGGTTTTACATGCTGGCCTGCAGTTTGGCGTATCATGAAATTCAAAATGCAGAAAGGGAGACCTCAAACTGCTGGAGGCAAGATTGGACAACATTTGACTTCACAAACTCCAAAAATTGGTCTCCTTGGCAGCCAAATAGTCACAAAATGTGGTTTAAAAACAAGTGATAAAAATAAATAAATAAAAACGGTACCTATTAGTGGTATTAATCTTAGAAGGGAACATGTCAATATGTCAATATGTTGTCTTTGCAACATTTTCACTCAAACATGGGGTTTAAATGTCTATCACAAATGAAGAAAATCACATATTTGATGTGTAATGAGAAATAAAGTTAAATAAAGCATTTTTATCGTCAGGTCATCTACTCCAAATACATTGAATTTAACATAAAAATGGATCGAACCTGCAGAAGTAAATCCTCAGTTTTTAAAAAGGCACAGTTGCAGGAAATCAGTTGAAACAGCGCCCCCTGCTGCCTAATTGACAGTCTAACTCCTGAAGAAAGATTGATGGGCACACTATAGAGCAAAGATTTGCCTAAACATGCATGGCACTACTGCTCTGATCCAAGGAAATCAAAATCAATACTTTGTTCAGTACTCAATATTTTTTTCCCTTTCATTAGAGAGAGAGAAAGAGAGAGAGAGAGAGAGAGAGAGAGAGAGCGAGAGAGAGACGCCCCCGGACCTGTTGACCCAGAGCTTTATAAGAAAATAGAAATTCATTATCCACTGTGCGCTTTGGCCGACCTGCATGGGCGTCTCTTAATTGAAACGCGCATTTGATTCCTTTTGTTATTTCAGATGAACTCTCTTTAATACCCTGCTGAGGCACGAAATCTCACTAAAGTCACGTGACAGGCACAATACAATCAGAACACTGAATAATTAACTCTCTCAATTACCTGAGCCCACATAAACGAAATATTCGTGTTCTTTTGAGTGTAAATAAACGTGCAGTTGTCTTTTAATTTCATGCGTAAAGTAGATTAGTACAAAAGCATATTTTTATAAGTGGTGGAAATAAAGTATCATGTCCAAAAAGTGGGGATGTATTAGGTAAAAATAATACAAATTGACATCCAGAGATCATTTTCGACTGTTATTACTTTTTTCACTGCTTATTATAGACAACATCATACAGAAGCAACAGGATATAAGGAGGGGGGGAGAAAAGCTTTTACCTTTTCAGACATCAAAGAAGAGCGCGTCTACGGCTGTTGGGGTGAAGAAAAAGATCGATAATCCGTAAAATATAAACTGTAGTTATTCCAGAGCCTCCGCTGTGACTCCACTGGAGCGGTTTGATATCCGCGCAATCCCCCCCTCAAACCCAAGGCAAACATCCGAACAGCAGCATTCCCTGGCTGAACGTCTTGATCGCGAACATTTTCTGAGGTTTTCGCAAAAAAATGTGAGATAACATTCACGCAAAGAGAGGGATGAAGAAAAACTAATCTGATCAATTGGACACCTGCGCGCATCAAAACACGATCCAACCGTGCGCCTCGGGAATCCACGTGTCCACTGTGTCTCTTCTCCTATCTTGTCTTTCTTCCTCTTTGCCTCTCACCGAAACAGGGGGATTGGTGCCGCTAAAGGAACCAGAAACGTTATCCAACTTGACCAGGAAAGTAAGCACTCCATCAGCGCGGACTGGTGCGCTGCGCCCCGGAGGATGGAGAGTTTACAGGCGTCTCAACCGCTGGTTTTCTACTGGAATTGATCAGAACTCGTTAGATAGAGAAAGAGGAATAATCACACATGATCTCGAGGAGTGTCTCCCAGCGAGCCCCTTCACTCCCCCTCTCACAATCGATGCCCCTCAGAAGCCCCGCGAGATCCTCCGAAATAATGTCCACTCTGTTTCAGGCAAAGAATAAAGATAGTTCCCACCGATTGGGTTTGAAACTGTTTTCTCATTGCGGGGCTCGTTTTTGTTTTCTAAAGTCAGAAAATTCCTCAACTGATGCGCAAACGCGATATCACCTGCGGAGACGACACAGATGTTTGCCAGGTCTCTGGTGCGTTCCTGAGAGGTGATCAACAGTTTGCCTGGTCGTCACCTTAGTCTCCTTTCCGAACAACGTCAGGCTCCGCGGGTGACTTCACATGTGTCACCAATATAGACACTGACTGAGTGAGTGACAGAGCCCAGATCTCTCCTCTGATGTAAGATTGGATCAAATGCAGCAAACAGTATGTTTCTCTTTTTATAAGAACATCGGTGCAACTAAGTCAATATTTATCTGCTAAGTCTCAAAGATGTTATTTTTGGTATATATATATATATTAGTTTATTTCCACAACGTAGGCTACTGCCCCCTGGCTCCGCTGGAGGATACAAATGGGAGGCAAAATGGGCCTTTGAGGTGTCGGAGATAAATATTTCAACGGAGGTGTGTGCGCGTGCGTGCCAGAAAGGGTCAGAGAGAGAGAGAAAGAGAGAGAGAGAGAGAGAGAGAGAGAGAGAGAGAGAGAGAGAGAGAGAGAGAGAGAGAGATTTGATGGCAATTGGAGGTGTGTGAAATCTCAGATCAGCACCTCGGACAGCGACCGGACAATCTCCCTCTTTGAAACACAACAACCATGCGTAACATGTATGTTACAGGCTTTCTCGATGTCGATTGGATTTCATGAATTCATTGTCCGGATTTGGCAGTGATTAATTATCCTCTACGGCATTGTTTCCAATTCGCATCATTTCCCAATCAAGAGCTCAATTCTAGTCTTTCAGTACTGTGGCTCTGAGGAGAAACAACAAAAACAAACAACCAAAAATATAACACAAAAATCAACAAACCCATCCCACTGAATGTTAATACCATTTCACCAAACCTTGAAACATTTATAAAGACAATTTTTTTTTACAAAAGGCAACAATTATTTTTGAAAAGCAAAAATGACACAAAACCCAACCTGTTGAGTCTCGTGGGTCGTGTTGCAGCAAAACACTGTCTAATAAAGTTTTGAAAAAAAAAATAAAAAATTGGCAGCTAACAGGTATCACACATAGACTGTATATACTATGGACAACTTGGTGCCGCCTTCCGTCAGTATACGGATTTGAAGTTGAAAAGTTCTCGGTAATGCCGCAATTTTTCTTCATTTCCTGAAACCAACACTGCGCAGTAGCGTTGTACGCACCAGCCCGTCACCAGAGGGTGCTGTTCTCGGAGTGGCTTCACCCAGTGAGGAGGCAGACGCTGTCCATTCTGTATAGAGTCTATGGTATCACATGAAGAAAAACTCTGGTGGTCCGTTTCTTGCAACTATGGCTGATTGTGGGAAGAGTTGCAAAAAGTGTGGCGACATTATTCCAAAGCTAAAGATACAGATCGAGTGAGATGCAATTTATGTTGCTAAAGAACTTCGTACTCAACGTTCATTACCAAAACACATCAGCATTGTACACCAAATCGAGCCAAAATGAAGAACCCTAGACTATTTGTGGCTAAAACAATTCCATCAACTCTGGCGAGTGTTGCATGGATGCTGTCCTTCTCTTCCACCCAAAGCAGCTGGGGTATGCACAGCCAGACTTTGTAGAAAGTCTTGATAGTCTTAAGTCTTAAAATGTTATGTTAAAATGCATTTTAAAAGCAGCAGTATAAAAGCCTACTAGTTTACTAACTGAGGCCATATCCGATTACATTGTAAGGGGTTCAAAGTGGGGTCTGTGAAATTAGAATGAGGTAAAATCAATTAATATGTTATCGCAATGTGTCCAAATGCCACGTCAAGAAAAATCAAGTTTTTTTTTTTTTTTTTTTTTTTTTTGGCTTAAAAAACTTTTACAATAGAACTTTTAAAGAGGAAACAATGACAGAAAAAAATGGATAGACAGTGAAGATAAGAACATAAATCTATAAGAAATCTGAGAAAATGGTGTCAGAATCAATAAAATACTATAATCCCCACCCCAATTTATGGAAGGCTGGAAAAAAAACTGTGCAAAATATTTGTTGAAAACAAAAAAAAAAAAAAGCAAAAAAACATTTCACAAAATCCTTAAACACGAGGCTCTGGTTTTGTCCTGTGGTTGAAGTATGAGGCCAATGTGCAGAGACAATGGTTCCCAACGGGGCAGCCAGGGTTCAGAATCCGCCTATCATGGACTAAACATTTAAAAGAATCACATCTATACTTTCCAACCCAAAGGCATCAATGCTATGGCCTGACCAGGATCACTCTACAGGGCTGTTTGGCTGTCAGGCGTTTACAGTCCTTATAATTAGTAAACTGGGAACTATTTTGCAAACTATTTGATCACTACAATACTACCTCTGAATCCACTTTGTGTGGCATTAACCTAAAAGGTAAACCCACACATAAACCTGAGCAGCAACAGGATCAGTGAGGCAGCCATGTCATTTTGATTCCAAGATCTCCCATCACTAAAAGTAGATTTCCTCTGCTCTAAAGCTTACAGAAGTAAGTATATGCAGACTGTTTTTCCTCATTTGTGTGAATTGCTTTCTGTGTGTGTCCCAGCCTTTCTATTTACGTATGTAAATGTCTGACACATTAAATCCAATGAGGCAAATCCTTTTCACAACCAGGAACAAAAGACTAGAAGGAGGGCCAAGTGTATGCGCCAAGTTGTTAGCTGGGATAGCAGAGTTAAAGGGGAAAGAAATTCAATGTTAAAATGCTTCGGCCGCAGAAAACAGCATCACTTCTTATGCTCTTTCAGCCAGCTCAGTCTCTCATAATGAACCACAAATAAGTTATTTGTGTTATGTTGATTTCTATTTATCACTGTTGTCTTTCAGAGCCTGATGGAAAAGGGATTTTTGAGACAGCTTCAGTGGCCACTAGTGATGCTCTCAGGTTTGTATCTGACAGTGCTGCAGTGATGCAGTAAACAGACTGGGCTCTGCTGCCCAGATGCAGAGCACAATCTGAGTATTGATGTTACTCTTCAATAACCTCAAGTATGGTTTCCTCAAAGATATTTTATATACAGAATTTGCCATTATATTTTAGTGCAAAAAGCTTGACGTGATCAACACAAAACAGATCTTGATACATATCTTGTGAAAGTTGAACCAGAAAGATAATTTTGTCTTCTTTGATTCGCTTTGATTCGATTCCCGCTTCTCTGATCAGCTGATCAAGGTTTAAACCCAGCAGCAACCTCCAGCCTTGACAAACAAAGCCACTGTGAAATTTAAAACCCTGCAGTTCTTTTGGTGGTCACTTGATGTTGGCTCCAGAGACCACAGAGGCACTAAACACACCTATTCGGAAAGCACATCTTTACACTAAAAGTGAACATAGCCCCAGCCTGGTACAAAAATCAAACCATTTTCTATCAACATATGCTTAAAAATATTTGTTTTTAAGATAAAGGTTTTGAGTTCGGAACAATTAGGGCACTCTCCCGCTGAATGTGTACAACGCTACCACGCAATGTTGGGTTTAGGAAATGGAGAAGAAACGTGGAATTATCAAGAGCTTTTTGGCTTTTTGGCTTCAAATCCTTATACTGGCGAAGTTGTCCATAGTATATACAGTCTATGGTTCATGCTCTATACATTGAAAAATCCAGTTGGTTTGGCACCACGACCTTGCTGCTGCCAAACTTTTCGTTTCGACCCTCCTCCACCCTTGTCACGTTTTCTACTTTTTCATATCCTGCAAATATTACGTCAAAATGTTGGCTATCAGTGCTGAACACAGACAAAGTTTGAAATCGCTGTAGTAGGTTGTGACCTCACTGCTGCTCCTAACAGCTTGTTCAGAAAGTTGGACAACTGTTAAACGAGACTGGCAGGAGACTTACTCAGTTTGTGACATCACCAATTGGTGAAACTGTAAAATGGCATGTTCTGATTTTTTTTTTTTTGTTGTTGTTGCTAGGGTTGTTTTTGGTCAATGCCCGAGATTTCTGGGTCAGATTTTGGGTCCAAAACATTCATCCTTGTTTTATTATTTTCTCATTTCAGATAGAGAAATAGGTTGAGTCTGACTCCAGAAGACCTGCAATGTGTTGTTTCTAATAGAGACACAAAGATGAACTCAATGACGATAACTATTACTATGGCAACAATAGAGGAAGCTTCCAGACAGCGGACTGATTAAATAAAAAGTGGGATCAAAAGGAGAGGAGCCTCCAAGAGGAAGTAGCAAAAGTCAAGTGTTTCTGAGAGAGACTAAAACCAGGGGTTTCAAAGACACTGGTTTGAGATAAACAGAGTTTTCTTGAGCTACAAATCAGAGAGGCAGTAGCAAATCTGAAAATGAGCACAATACCTTCTCTGGAGCTTGTCCAAGTACAGCAAGTCATTTTTCACTCACAGGAGGTCTGCACTGAAATAGGATGATCAGTAGTTGGCCATGTCACAAAAAAACTGTGTTTGATTTTATATGAAGTGTAATTTTCTGCAACATAAACGTTGCTCTCTAGAATTCACTCTATCAATATCCAGTCCCTCGTCTGTACATGCTTACTCTGAAGATGATTTCATGACCCAAAGACTTTGTACAGAGTGAGCATTTGTTTTAACATCCATTGACACACATGTCATTTCCTAAACAACAGTCTATCTGATTTCTCATGTCAGAGGTGAACTCTGAAGCGAGTGAGCCAGCAGTGACAGAGCCTGCGAGCTAAATTCAAATCAATTCATTCATGTTATGACTGATAATAAACGTCAGCCACTGCATTGTTCCATTACTCTCTAATTCATTCTCTTAAATGACTGTATTGATCTCAACAAAGACCTCAGGGTCTTGACTTGGCATATTAAAATGAATCTAAAGACATAAATTCAATTCAAACTGCCCCGAGGGACAGTTTGCAGAGCCCAGAATAACAGAGGATCCTAAAGAGAAAATGAAGTGAGATGCAAATTTCAAACAGCGACCCAGTGTTGATGGACAGTGAGTGAATGATACGATAACATCTACTCTGACTTTCACTGACTTTTGTCAAGGGCAGATTTTGTGTTTTAGTGATTTATTCATTCTCTCCTCACATTTAATATGATGAGCTGAGCAAGAGACACAAGAAATAACAGATGAGCAACTCACTCCTGAGTGAATACGGTGCTCCTGAGTGAATATGACACTCCTGTGGAGTTCAGATGTTGGTCATCATCAACTTAATCTCCATCATCATTACAACCATTTACCTCCTCTTGACTTTGCACGTCAGTGAGCCCAGCAGCCCTATCATTGCTGCTGTATTTGCCTAGCAAGTAAATGTCTGCTTGGCTAGAGCATAATTGGCTTTGAGGCGTTGGGAATAGTGTTAGCAGGAGTTTTGGATTTGATGGAAATAATAAGTGAGATATATCTCTCGTTATTCTCCACTTTTTTCATTTTGGTACATCTCAGTTCATCCTCCTTTCTTGAAGCAATGTAACACATAACTAGGTTGGTAGAAAAACAGGATTTTATTTCTTCTTCTTGAACATTTATTTTATTTTCTGCTCAGGACCATACTGCCTTATCACCACTGAATATGAGTGAACTTCAGCCTTTTTATTGGTCCGAAGGATGATTAGGGCCCCATTTCAAAAGACGACAAAAAAGGGCTTCAAAAGTGTCTCAGTGTTTCAGGATTTAAGCCTCAATATTATGACACTCAAGTAGGATTGTAACAAAAATGCAACACTGTCTAATTAGACTAGCTCCTTATGTAAAATCTCCCTTCACAACAGCAGTAACTAGACACTGAATAGGCTAATCACTGACGAAATTACAACTTAATTCTAGTAAAATAATAGCCTCATTCTTGTAGAATCATGACTTTAATTCTTTAACATTAATAATACTCCAGCCTCTCTAGATGCAGTAAAAAGATACCTGACGTGTCTTCTGTGATACAAAAGTCACGTCTAAACAGTACCCAAAAAACCCAGGGTTGATTTGATATTCAAAGTTCTTTGTGAGTCCAAACACAAGACCACAAACAGGTGATGAATCTACAGGAGTGCTGGTGCACTCTGACACTAACCTCCATCTTTATCTCACACACAGTTGCCAATACAAACATACAAAGATGCACAGCAGAGGTGACAGCATACTTTATCAAAATCTTATTGGATTTCACCTTGTCCCCGGCCACCACAAACAGAACAAGGAAGGTCAGGCGTCCTCCAAGACACTGGCAAGCAATCCCACCCCAGAGGCAGAGCGGTAGTTGTGCACCTCGGTCACGTTCCTGCTGTCCGTTCAGTGCCCACTTGTCTCTTTTCACATCAGCCCCTCATACATACCAGTGATGGAGCACAGGGAATGGTAGAAGGTAAACCACAGGAATGTGGCAAGCAGCCTGGCGTGGCAGAAAACACCCTGATGGATTTTTCACTCTAAGCATTCAGCATGCATGCTTGTCCAGGACAAACTAACAAGGAGAGAATAATCTAGAAGCCGCTGATTGGAAGGACCGTGAAGGTCTGAGCCACAAAAACATTTGACAAAACATCTCCAAACACTTTTGTGAGAATCATGAGAAGTGCTTTTGTTAAGGATTAAATGACTTCCTAATTTAGAGTTTACAAGGCAATAATGAAGCCACCGCAGAAGTACAAATGACTGCAGTTTCTCTGGCTGCTTAAAGATAGTACAGCAAAGGAGCTAATTCACATCAACCCTACGTGAAGTGGCAGATTTATACAAAATGTCCAAATTTGTCCTAAAGAACTGTTTATAGTAAAATGAGCTTTTTAAAATTATTACGGTTTAGAAGCACTACAACACGCAGCAGGTCCCGCTTGACACGAAACACTTCTGTTACAGACTCTTGGCTTACTTTGTTAAAGCGGTTTACCTTTCCAGCAGAAAGGTTACAGGGTCCCTAAGATCCCAAAGCGTCCCCATCATTGTTGACCCGACTTTTTTAGCTCTTGTCCGGGTGGTGTACCTCCATTTTTAGCGCCCGTTGTTCCGCCAGAGTCTCCGGTATTTGGTTTGTTTTTTTGCTTGTGTTGGCAGTCGTGGTCAAAGGAGGATTCAGACAATTTTCTGTACTTTCTGGTTGGTTTCTACTGTCTGATATTGCAGCACGCTAACTTTGTTGGGCTCATGAACGACACAGGGAGCAGCGTCTGCCTCACAACCAATCAGCACTTGGGAGCAGCGTCTGCCTCACAACCAATCAGGTCGGGGAATCGGGGAACGGCTTTGTTTACTGTCAGAAAGAGCAAAGCGCTCAAAAAATTCAAAATGTTGACAACACAGAAATAAGAGAACACAGCGATATCTTTATATAACCAAATGTCATCAATAACTTATAGCTATTGACTGATATTAAAAGCTTTTTTGTATACACACCTCAAAAAAGATGCTTCTTTAATAGATTCCTGCCTACCCCACCTTTAAATGGTCTGCAACAAACAATAATATATTTATTTTTTTCCATTAATATTTTTATTGTGACATATTCTAGTTGATTATCCACCACCGTTGACACTTTCACCACCACTTTATGGTTAAAGCTCCACCTCCATTCTTATTTTCCCCTTTCACATGTCAATTTATATCTGTCAACTTCAAAATCCATATTGCTGTTCATCTAAGTTTCTGTTTACATGAATACAACACATTGTCTTCTATTTTCATATATAGTGAGTGCAAAGACCATTCATTGGCTGTGCTGTGTTGTCATATCAATCATGGACTGATTTCATCTGCATTAGGGTTCGCCCTGCCAGCGTAGTCGTTTTGCTCACCAATAAAACTGTCAGCTCATGGTTCAAAACTGGACTTATTTTCAACCATTCTCACAGATAGACAAACCTGAAATATATAGGCAACAATTACAATAAGAAAACTGTGCAGAGATGCACATAAATCTTTAACTGGGCTTTTAATCATGTTGCCAGTCGAACCCATATAATGACACACATGGAAAGCAGTCTTT